CCAAAGAATAATTTGTTTTTTCATGTCTTCTTTAACAAAAAGGTAGAGTAGTGGCAATTTCACTTTCATCTCTTAAACACTAACATCCTTCTCTATGTTATTTTCTTTATCCATTATTAGATTATACATCTAATTATTTATATATATGCAAAACTATGCTTAATTCACATATCACGAGATAACCTAAAATGTATTGCATTTATGCATTTTCCTTATTTATTTATGTTATGTATTATATATAACTAACCTATTACTCTATTTCAAACAACTTGTTACTTGGTTTTAGGTGGTTGTAACTCTTTTCCATCCTTTTAAATATTTCTAAAACATTTACAAAACAAATTTTCAAGAGGATTATATGTTATTAAGTAAGACATATACTAGAAAGCAATTTAACTCTTATCTATTATCTTGTGTTCTCTATACTTGAAGATCTTGAACTTTTTTATTCTTATTGTTAATGTTGGTGTCTTCATCAAAACCTAGCCAAGGTAAAGAATAGACTCTTCTTCACATTAGGACCATCACATTTTCGTGGCTAACACCTTAGAGTCTATTTGCGAGTTGGATTTTAGACAAGAAGAGGAAAAAAAAGTTTCATAGTCATTGTGAGATGACTTTGAAGCCCTTCATTTTCTACACTTCCTCTCCAAAACCCAACTTGCAAACGAACCCTTACGACATATAAAAAATCATAATGATGCATGTAGCTTCTGCATGCAATGGATTTTCAGTCCTAATAAAGAGACAATACAATATACCAATACATTGGGCGTTGCTTTTTTGCTTATTTAGAGAACATGACAAAGGGATGTTCTTTGTTATCACAAATGACATGGAGCCCAAATTTGTGTCCAATGAAACAAAGATGTTTTTGTCTAGGTTTTCAAAAATAGAAACCATAGACTCCTCACTCAATTGCTTTGGCAAAACATAACTCAAAAAAACACCTAAACAACTCATCAGAGATGACCCAAACGAAACCATAACCTATAAAAAGAGGATAATCAAGATTCAACTAGAATTTTGAAGCTAGTTGCTCAAAACAAGCATGGGTTACACTCAAGCTTGTGCTGTCATTTTACAACGTAAATTTGAGGAATTATGGAAATATAAGCTCAAAATCGAAATCCTCAAATCTCAATTAGGGTAAGGTGACCTTTGCATGCAAGCAAATGCATAAAAACAACTCTAGTCCTTATGCTAGTTTAGTGGAGAAGATGAAGTTGATTTCTTATGCTTATGACTAAACTTAATTGCTATTGGTCCTTAAGTACTAAGTTGGGTAGCGTTTTCTTATTCTAGGGGCTGGGCTTTCTAGTTTATGAGCCCTAGTGCAAATTTATAAGGCAATTACTGTTTTCTATGTTATTAGGTGATAATTAACTTGGTTCTTTAAGTCATCTCGCTTAGATATTTGATACAATGCCTAATGTATAGATGTGTTTCTTGTATGGTAAAATGTCTTGGGATATATTAGACATTGTCTAGAAGAGTATAGATGATAATATATACTATAAAATTAGGGAAGTTACAACTTATGTCATATCTTTTCTTCTGACTCAGATTGAGAAACAATTATAATCATTAGTACTATCTCTCACGATGGGAGATGGTTCACGAATAATGTTTTCTACTCTCTTCTCTTAACATCTCTATTGAACATTTTTAGATTAATTAATTTTGAAATTATTATTTTTTTAATTCAAAATTAACACCCATCAATTAATCATTCAAAAAATGCTTCTATAAATAAAATCTAAAATTACATTTTAATTACACAATTACTGGTAAATTTTAATTTTGGATTTAATAGGATGGTTGCAACTAGTGGTGTATTTCTTTCTACATTGGGTTAAAACTCATGGCGGTTCACGACCACTGTTGTTTCCTTTCTATTAATCCCCTTCTAATTAATTAAAATAATTTCATTCAATATTTTAATAAAAAATATTACTAAATGTTTTTTATTAATTTAAATTGAGAATTGGAAAAATGGCCACAACTAGTATGGTCTCTTTCTTTTCTATTTGGGTTGAGAAGTGGGCAAGGTCATTAGTATTGCATGTTCCATCCCCCTAACTAGGGAGGATGGTCTATGCTCTACTTCTTTAATTGCAACTTTAATTAATTAAAATTGAACCAAACCATTAAATTTTTAATCCATAATTACATAGTCACAATTTTCCTAGCTAGTGCACCAAGAGATACTTATGAGAAAAATAAGCTCTTGTGAAAAACCCTAATAAAAATATATTATATAAACTCTTGTCAAAAACCTTAATAAACATACATTATTTTCTTTTCTTTTTAAAAACTAAATATTTAATTGAAAATGTTTTGGATATAAATTATTCTAAGAAATTGGCAAGAATATCATGAATGAGGTGCTAATAACTTCTCTAATCCTTAATTGACTCATGAGGTCGAAACTTTATTTTGACGACAATATTATCCAAAATGAGCCATAAATATGATTTTATGTGTATTTCTACAAAAATGTGGTGGTGACTACAAATAATTTGCAAGAAGGTGGAATTTTCATTCTCCTAAGTCATGTAACAGACTAACTGAAAATCGATTCACGACAATTTCAATCTTTATCAATTAATGAGCATGCATTTCTAGAGAATTATATATGCAATAACAATTATATTGTCATACGACTTAATGCACATCAAATTTTGTTTTAATCCTTTGACATAAAACATTTGAGATACAAGGTAGAGGAGATTTATCACCAGTTTTGCCTATTCCATCGAATTTTTCCTATTGGTTTCCACCAAAAGTCACATGCCTACCTTTCTTTCTGTCATATGTTGCAAGCATCCACTATCCAGATACCATAACTGATAGTATTTGAAAGATAGATTATTTTTGTAGTTGAAGAAAAGACTTTGAAAATAGATTGCTTTTATTAGCACAATGACTTCAAGAAATGCAATGGAGAAATGTAGAGGAGGATGTTTAATTCCTAAGCTTGGATGCTTGGTTTTTCTACACACAATGTGAAATGCCTAAAGCCTATTTATAGACTAGTATTACATGGTTCTTGATTATTCTACATTATTCTAGAAGTTCATTTCAATGACATAAAAATCTTCCTATTCTACAATCTTCAAGATGTTTCTAGAGAATTGCATCATTACCATCATTCTATATATTTCTAGAAAATTGCAGCATGTTCTAACTCTCCTCCTTGATGCAATTTTTTGTGACTCCTAGCAACAATCGTAGTTGCTTGAACTTCGGTCTTGGTAATGCCTTAGTAAATATGTCCGCAATTTGATCTTCGATCTTGCAATACTCGAGCCTTATTTCTTTATTCTCACTTGCTTCTCTGACAACATGATATTTAATTGCGATATGTTTTGTCCTATTGTGATGGACTAGATTCTTTGCAATCGCTATCGCCGATTTGTTGTCACAATAGATTGTCGTAGGCTCTGTCTTATGATCTCCAATATCATTGAGTATTCATCTAAGTCATATAACTTGGTTGGTCGTCTCTACAGCTGCTACATACTCAGCTTCTTCTGTTGATTGTGCAATGATTGCTTGCTTATTAGATGCCCATGAGAATATTCTTGATGCAAGTGAGAAGGCATAACCTGATGTGCTTTTCATGTCATCCATCGAACCTGCCCAGTCACTGTCAGTGTAGCCATGCAATGTTGAGTTGGTGTTGGATTTATACCATATACTAAACTCTTTTGTTCCTTGCAAGTATATGAGAACTCTTTTTCCAACTCCAAAGTGGATTTGACTTGGGCTTTGCATGAATCTTGATAGCAGACTTGTAGCATACATGATATCAGGTCGAGTGGCAGTGAGATATAAAAGACTCCCGATCAAACTCTTGTAGAGGGATGCATTTGCCTGTGGAGATCCATCTTCCTTTTATAGCTTCTCATTAGTCACGAGTGGAGTAGCAACTAGTTTGCATTCATACATCTTGAACTTCTTTAGTAGTTCTTCTGTGAGATGAATATGCATTATTTTCTTTCATTTACCTCAATTCCGAGGAAATAATGCATTAAGCCTAGGTCTGTCATCTCAAATGTCTTCATCATGTCTTCTTTGAACTCTATTATCATCTTTATATTGTTTCCAGTGTATATAAGATCATCTACGTACAAGGAAACTATTAGAGTATCATATTGACCTTGAGTCTTAATGTACAGTGTAGGCTCACTCTTGCTCCTCCTGAAACCTTTATCGATGAAGTACTGGTCAATTCTATCGTACCATGCTCGAGGAGCTTGCTTCAAGCCGTATAGAGCCTTCTTCAATCGTAGCACTTTGCTTTTATTTCCCTTGCTCGTGAACCCTTGTGGTTGCTTCTGAATTGAGGAATGCGAACTTGACATCTAGTTGGTAAATGCTCCATCTTCTTTCTGCTGCAAGAGCTCTTATAGTGTCTAGACGAGCAATTGATGCAAATGTCACATTATAGTCAATTCCTGGTTGTTGAGTGTAGCCCTTAGCTACTAGTATCGCTTTATGCTTCTGAATGCTGCCATTAGGATTGAGCTTTATTTTATAGACCCATTTTACTCCAATGACGTCTTTATCTTTTGGACAATCTACTAGTTCCCATGTGTTGTTTTTCTCGATCATTTTTATCTCTTCTTCCATTGCCTTGACTCATACTTCTTGCCTTGATGCTTCTTCAAAGCTTCTAGGTTCAACTATGGCCAAGTTGCATGTCTCATATAGATTATTTTTGTAGTTGAAGAAAAGACTTTGAAAATAGATTACTTTTATTAGCACAATAACTTTGCACTAGAACAAGAAATGCAATGGAGAAATGTAGAGGAGGAGGTTTAATTCCTAAGCTTGAATGCTTGGTTTTTCTACACACAATGTGAAATGTCTAAAGCCTATTTATAGACTAGTATTACATGGTTCTTGATTATTCTACATTATTCTAGAAGTTCATTTCAATGACATAAAAATCTTCCTATTCTACAATCTTCCTATTCTACAATCTTCAAGATGTTTCTAGAGAATTACATCATTACCATCATTCTAGATGTTTCTAAAAAATTGAAGCATGTTCTAACATATAACTGGTATTTGCTTTGCTCTATTGAATATGTTTAGAACACCAATAATCAAGGATTTAGGTACCAATTTTTTCTTGTGTTCTTTCTTGTTAGTTAGAGATATATGTAACGACTTTCTCTAAATATACTTTGACATAATATGTCCAAATTTTCCTCATATGTTACAAACAGGTTTTAAAAAAATGTTTTAGAAGCATGTCTAGAAAATTAAGATTTATGGTCATGTATATCATGATGTGTTTTATATATAAGTCTAACAATTATAATTCTAGTATTCTTATCACGCTAATTCTAACTAGAGTAGCCAATACCTTATTTGTTTTGAGAGCTTCGTTGATTACCTAAAAGTTTAATTAAGTTCTTTCTTCCATTCATAAACTTAAGTCATTTGTTTTCTTGTTCAAGCATGGATCTTTCTTTATCTCAATTATTAAACTTTGTTAAAAGCTTTCATACTTTCTTTCTAGAGCTTTATATGCTATAGAAATGTAGTTTTATACTCATACCAATTCATCATAAGCATTAACTAATTTATTGACTTCATCATGTACCTCATCATCTAATTTTGAATTAATGTTTGCTATCAAACAAAGACTTGCTTCCAACTTTTCTTCCCCATGTTCAGTTGTGATTTCATCTTCCCAGGTAACCATCATTCCATTTTTCTTGTACCAAACATTCTTTAAGGCTAGGTTCTTGAGATTTGGGAACCATGCCTTAATATGTCTTGGTTTCTAGCATTCATAGTAAGTGACATCATTTGGTTTGTTGTTGGGTTTAACTGACTTTTTGAATTTTCTTTTGTTCTAAAGCTTTTTCGTTTTCCTTGTTTGAAGAGACAATTCATCATCTTCTTCAGACTCATCTGAGTTTGACTAATCAGATTTCTTAGTGGACTCATCAACCAGTGTTCTAAAATGTGTTCCGCAATACATAACGCGGACGCAACAATGTGGATGCGGCCAGCAACGCATCAACAACGCATCGCAATTGCAGTGTGATTGAATTTCACACCAAAAACCGCAACAAAACACTGTTGCGGCTGCATCGGGCCGCAACGCAACCACATCAGATTAAAAAATATTATTTTAATCACAAAATATTCACACTGCAACGGTTGTAATCCGCATCGCAACGGTCACAATGACCTCAATCATAGTAACCGAAACCGTTACCGCAATCGCGACCGCAATTTAAAACACTGTCATAAACTTTAAGAGCTTTTGGAGTTGCTCTTTTTAGCTTTATTTTCCACATTCAAAGCAATAATAGATTTTGACTTTTCACAATTGTTTTCACCATCAATTGTTGTTCATGAATTTGGAGAGTTCTATGTAATTCACCTAACTTCATTTTGGATAAGTCTTAGGCTTGACATATTGTTGTTGCAAGAGGTTTCCATTATTTTGGAAGGCTTCTAAGGATCTTATGGATGTGTTCCTCTATTTCATATGTTTTGCCCAAGGATATCAACCCATTGGCTATGGTTTGAAATCTTCCTTACATTTGTCCAACAATTTATTCATCATTCATTTTGAAGAGTTCATAATTTCTGGCAACCACAAGTGAATCCCATATTTATGTAGGTATGTAGGATGCATCATTTATGGCATCCCATATATCATGCACTACGCCATAATTGTCTTTTAACAATGCCTATTCAATTGTTCCGGTATGCAGAACTCTTAGCGAGATTCAAGGATACGAAAATCAATAGCGCATATTGAACAATGCTAGTAAAGCATAGTGTTGATTCTCACGTATTCAACAACTTATGTTTCAACGAGTATTGTTGAATCCTGTGACTTTCGTGTAGCTATAGAACGGGTGCATATGAAGATATTATTAATTCTATTATATTAATCCCTAGATTCTATTATTTAGATATAAATATAGAAATAAAAATAAACAAAAGTTCCAATAATATAAATATTCTACTATTTAAACTACTAAATATTTTATATAATTAATATTTTGTGTAAATATTCTACATTTTCAATTATTTTCAATATAATCTTTGTATTTAATTAAATAAAATTTATATATGAATAGTATTTTGTATTATTCTAATGAAAATATTCTATTAATATTCAAGATAGATACTTTCTATTATTATATTTAATGAAAGAATATTTATATATGATGTTTTTTAAATACTAAAATTTTAAGGTTTGTGTGTATATAAGGGAAGGTTTTCTGTTTTTTTGGTACTCACATATATTTATTTAATTAAACAAATCAACAATGTTTTATTTATTTTTTTAGTTAGCAAAAGAATTTTATTAGAAAGGAGAAAATGTTACAAACAAAATAAAGAAAAAAGTAACAAAAAAGTTACAAAGTGAAATTCAGAAAAAGAAGAGGCTTAGAAAACCAATCCAAATATAAGGAAAATTATACCCCAAAGATGTTCTTAATCCAAAGCCAATCATTCACCCTAGCAGTGTCCAAGATATGGTGAATGGAAAGACTAGTCTTGTTGAAAAAATATCATTCCGATATCTCCAAATAGCCCAAACAGTAGATAGTAACAACGTAGTGAGCACTATTGATAATTCATAATTAACAGTGCTTTTTGCAGTGACCATTCATTGTTATTGAATTTTTAAAAATAAAACATTTCCACAACATTCATTCTCAGATTCTCATAAAACCTTCCCACGATATTCATTCACACAAAGTAAATTCTTAAAAAACCTTCACACTTACATTTCCAGGACATTCATTCAACAAACTTTCTCCATATATTCATTCTCTACTGATGCAGAAAATGAGTTTTCCCATTTTCTGTATATTTTTCCTTTTTTGTTAGTTTTCCTTAATGTTATTTTCCCCTTTGTATGTATATCTTTGTGTTGCAGTTATGTTACTATCACTAGTTTTCTACTGTAGAAAGTGCCTTGGACGCCTTTTGAATAACTTGTAAGTGCTTAGGAAATATTATTATAGAAAGTGTGAAAATGAATAGTGAGTGACATATAGGAAATATTATTATAGAAAGTGTGAAAATGAATAGTGAGTGACATAGAACATGCATGAGACAACTAGTGTTCTTAAGCATTTGTATAACAAAGAACATTGTATAATATATTAGTCTAGTGTTCTTAAGCATTTGTATAACTTTATCTTAAATTTTGTTTGTTGATATCAATGAAGGAATCTCTTAGTGGTGATGATGCTACTCCGAGTAAAAAAACATTGTACAGGTGGGATGACCGCTATGAAGAAAGTTATTTGTGTAAGAAGTAAAAGTATGAAATTAATAGTTGAAAGAAATATAAAAGGTCAACCATGTATGAAAAAGGGAGGCAATACATTGGTGAGCTAAATTCGGATGTTTGAGTGACAAGTGGTGCCAATATCATTTTTGCAATTGAAATGATAAAATATTGGTTAGTTGGGAGGATATCATTTGGATTGACATAGTATAGTAGAATACTTTACCTTGTAGCTTATTCATATTTACTTACGTATATGTGTTTACTATAACTTTTTACTTATCTTTTTTCAATCGACTTTTGATGTTGGTGAGGATAGCATAGATTATATACTTAAATTTATCGGCAAGAGTCTTAGACAATTCATTACCAATGCTGGAAAATATGTTAAAGATATTCAAGGAAATATCAATCTTAAACCTGCAACAAAATATGCAAATATCACCGATGAGACTAATTGGAGTTTGTTTGTCACTATAGAAGACAATCGAAATATATGTACATAAGTAATTGAGAGGAGTTTTAAAAAATTAAATAAAAATAAATAAAAGGTTGTAAAGTTATTATAAAAGGAGGCGTGTTATTCTTTAGGCTTTGTTTGGTTTAAGAGAAGAAAATGGGTAGAGAGAAAAATGTGAAAAAGATAGTGTGAAGAAAGAAAGAGGTGAGAAATAGAGATGATTTTTGTATTGTTTGGTATAAGAGATAGTAAGAAGAGAAAGAAGAGAAATGTGTGTTTTATTATGTTATTATCTTCTTCTCTCATTTTCTTCTCAAAAGAGAGAAAAAATTATGGGACCCATGTAAGGACCCGATTTTCATAACCCAAAAATTAATTTTTTTAAAACTTTAAAACTTTATTCACGGAAAGGAAGTGAATACTTTTGAAAGGCGTTGCTTGAAATTATCTGGAGAACGAGTGAATACAAATATTAATTCCATTCATAATTCAAAATGCGGAAATACTCCAAGTACATATTTCTTTTAAAGCATGCAATTACACTTTCTTTCAAATACATAATCTATACAATTACCCTTTCTCAAAAGTACTTTAAATACAAACATTATATCAACTTCATTATACACTTAAGAGGAGTTCCAGTTTACAAAATAGATAATCCAACATAGTTCTCATATTATAAACATTTATCATATAAGATATCAATTACATAAAACCCTACTCTACCATGTACTCTTCTCCGCAAGCGTCCAATGCACTACCACCACAACCTGAACTCAAATACACAACACATACAAGAAGAGACAGAGGGAGTAAGAACCAACTACGGTGACCGTAGCGTGGATTTACATTGAGTAATAACATTAAAGTAATACAACTTATACAACCTCTAAAATCAACCATATTAAACATATAACAATCAATTACCTTATGCCACATAATATTCGTATATCAAATTATATGACAATCCACATTCAAAACAACATTAAGCATTCATATCTTCTTTCTTCTATTTCCATATTTCCCATATTCACCCTATAGTATATATATCTCATAATATATATTCTATAGCATGCATATTCATTTCATTCCAAAAGGACTTTTATTTCATTACCGACAATCGACATTAAAATTTCTCTTACCCACGTCCGGCCAGTTTACACCACAAAGAGAGTCTACTACCACTTCGGGCAGGCCTACACCACAAGGGTGATCCATTACCACACCAGGTAAGTCTTACATGATCCACTACCACCCCAGGCAGGACTACATTTCCAAGATGATCCACTACCACACCGGGCAGGACTACATTTCGAAGATGATCCACTACCACACCGGGCAGGACTACATTTCCAAGATGATCCACTACCACACCGGGCAGGACTGCATTTCAAAGATGATCCACTACCACACCGGGCAAGACTACATTCGAAGATGATCCACTACCACACCGGGCAGGACTATATTCACATTATTCTCACATCACATGTTCGTCATAACACAAAATATCACATCAATGTCATACACACAATAAACACAAGGTAACTTATTGTTTCATCACCATAAAATAATCCACAACACCTTCATTGTCACAAACATACCCATATATGTTCATAACAATAAAGCGACTCACAATTTAGTCATTTTCATAAACATACTCATCTCCATTTTTAACAAATCAACAACTCATCACACAATCATTGTTACAAACATACCCATATATGTTTATAACAATAAACAACTCACACATAATCATTATCACACACCATAACCATTTATACTTTTACCGTCAAAGAACACATCTCACAATCCTTATTACAAACACACCCATATATGTTTATAAAAAATCAACCATCCATAACTCACCATTATCATAGACAAACCACACACAACAAATTCTTCATCATATAACACATATTCTTGCTCCTGACCTTGACACGGTTTTGATGAAGACACCAATATCACAAAAAAAGAAAGGAAGAAGACCGATAAAGACTATCGAAGATAAAGCTTCAAGAAATAGAGTCTAAGTCTTTAGGTACTTCTATCCTTACAACTCCTTTATTTACTTAGTTAATAATGCTCAAAATTGTTTTCAAGAAAATCAGGAAAAACTAAGTGTGAATAAAAATAATTTATAAAAAAACAACATGTAACGGGTTACCATACTTGAGTAACAAGTTACATGAGTGAGAAAAGAGTTTTCAAACCTCTAACAGCTATGAGTAATCCATTACAGACTTTGGAGTAACATATTACCATTTTTAGAAAACAAGGTAATCGATTACTCAAAGTAGTGTAATCGATTACACTAAGGCAAATTCACAAAGCTGT